ATTAACCTAATTTAACGAATTTCCTATATCTTCACACACTCATCTCGCCATGAGCACATTCAACATATCTTCTTGCTAGATTCCTATTAGGGCTGCAAACGAACTGAGTCGAGTCGAGTTTTGGCCTAATTGAGTCGAGACTTAACATAATTTTAGTAAACTCGAACTCGAGCTCGAGTTCGACAAGTTGACAATTTCAAGCTCGAGCTCGAGCTCGAAAAAATAAAAAATAATTATTTTTATTTTTAAAAAATAAATAAAATAATATTTTTTCTTAATAAATAATAAAATATTAAGGATATATATGTAATTTTACTATTAAAATAAAAAATAAAAAATATATATACTTAAAATAAAAAATAAAAAATATATATACTTAAAATAAAAAAAAAATATATATATATACTCGAGCTCGCGAGCCGGGCTTAATATCTTGAGCTCGAGTTCGAGCTCGATTTTGACTCGAGCCAGCTCGAGCTCGAGTCAAGCTTGACTCGCTCGCAAGCGGCTCAGTTCGTTTGCAGCCCTAGTTCCTATCAGTCCATGAAGTCTTCAAATTGATTTTAGTGCCACAAGACCAAGTTGGAGTTATTTTCTTGCATCTTCCTCTCATGAAACTTCAACACATTGCCAACAATTGCAACTGTTAATATTGCCCCTCCCACTCCATATTTGAAGACAAATCTATTAGAGGATAAGGGTTTGTACTTTCTAACTGAACTTGGGAGTTGTCTGGTACGTTTACGGGCAATTTATGTTGGAAAGTTTCAACGAAAAGGTTGTGCAGAAAAAATTGCCCATGAAAAAATTACTTTCCGTCTCTCATGATGGCACAATTACACGGAGTGACTTAAACTGTATAGATTTACTAGTTCAATGACATTTTTGGCTAATAAAAAAGTTGAGTGACCAAAAGTAGCACATTGCAATAGTTTAGTGACATTTCACGCAATTTGCTTTTAATTCAAACTTGTTTCTTGCTTCTCGAAATTGCAACCAATAAAAAGTCAGTCAAATAAAAGAAAAAAGATCATATCTCTCCAATTCTTTCCTTTCCTTTTGTCTCCTATTTGCTCAACATGCTATGATCCAAATCAAAGCTATGGCGATGTAGCAATATGCGCATAGAATCTCTCATTACTATATGTGGTTAGATCTTCATTGTTGACAGTTGGGTTCAGCACTTTATTCGTGAGAAGGGGAGCAGGATTGACTGCTAGGGCTCCACCACGATCCCCGCTGCTTGATATCTTTGTTCTGGGTAAAGCTTTTGAAAATTTTCACCGATGACTTGAACATCTATAATTTTTTAAGAAAGGATTTTTTCACAATCACAAAAATTTCACCGATGACTTGAGTTCCCTTCCTTCCCAATCACAAACATATTCAAAACAATAAATCCTTATTTCAGAGCTAAAACCATGCCAGTTTAAGACTATATTGAACCTATAAGTTTTTAGCCTAATTTTGGGTTTTGGGGGGATGGGAGTTTTAAACTTTTATCTGCTAATGATTGAGAGAAAAAGAGAGAGAGAGAGAGAGATCTATTAATAACGAGGGAGAAAAACTTCAAGCAAAAATTGTTTAGACGAGTTTGGTCCTGAAAAAATGCGCCTGCAAATCACGTGACACCCATTCCATTTGATTTGATAGTCAAATTACACGGAATGACACAAAACATGTAATTTGATTAGTTTAGTGACATTTTCGACTAACAAAATAGTTTAATGACCTGAACTAGTACAAGTGTATAGTTTAGTGACATTCACCGCAATTTACTCTAATTTTATTAAACCAAATCTCAAAAACAACAAAAGACAAGTCGGAGACCTTTCACTCTTGTGCTCACGGCTGTCACAATTCTCACCAGACTCTAACAATTTCTTGGAGTAGTCCCTCCTCAAGTGTTAATATGCTAGCAGCAGTGCTCTATATATAGACTAACCCAAGGGAGTAATTAATTAAAACCAACTAGGAGTTGGACTAATACTTGAATCATTACTATTTGGACCTGGACTCAATTACGGAAACTATACCTTATCAAAACTAGACATTGAAATAAGAAACTAAAAGGATTAGGAAACTAAGTAATAAAATAGTTTGGTTTAATTTCCTTCATTGCCTCCCTTAAATCAAGTTTTTGATGTTGTCATTTCCAATGCCATCACGAGTTTGAATCTCCATGAAAATCTCGGTTGTAGTATAAATGACACAAAACACTAACTTGCAATGGATCTCCAATTTCATCTTTACATGTGATAATGGACGAAACTTTTACTTTTCGAATAATTTCTTGGCTTGATCACCCTTGTTAAAATATTCAAACATGTCCACCCATTCTTCATTAGATACTCCATAATATAATTTAATTCATCCACATCACCAAGAAAATTTCCTGAAATCACAAAATCATACTTTCCACTACCAAAAATTTCAATATCATCATGAACTTGTTTTGATTCGTCCATAACAATAACCACATTAGTTTTTAGCAATGCCATAATCTTCAACTAATATTTCCACCTCACAATTATTTTTAATCAACTTTATCACTTGATTTTCTTCTTCAAAAAATTCATCAATTCCAACAAAATTAACAATATCTACATTGTCATGATTTTCAACCACATCAATAATTTCGCTTTCTTTCTCAACAACTTGCAAAATTTCTTTTTTAGCTACAAATTCTTCATCTTCATATGTACCCATCAATTCTGTAGTTTCTTCTTCTTTGTTTCATCAAGAAATCCTTTTTCTTCTTTCTTGGCACAAATTTCTTATGCACCATGACTACAATAAGAATTTATCAAAACTTTTCAAGCATCCTTTGACGTCTTTGCATGTATGAATTTATTCGCTACGTACAATTGGACTTGTGTGTTGAGATAGTGGAATGCCTTACAATCCAATTGTCTATTCCTCTCTAACTCTTTAAGTGCATCACCTGATGATTCCATGCCTCATATAGGTTCCATGAATCCCTTTTGAACAATATTTCAAATTCCAATAATTTGAAAATCTTTTCATCATCTAACTTCAAATCTCAAAATTGTTTTAACCATCAAAGATAAAACAACACAACATGCTAAATAATACAGATCCATACTTCAACTTCACGAACAATCCCTAAGCCCGAGAATTAAAGTTTAGAACTCTGATACCACTTGTTAGTACGAAAAATCACGCACACAGCGAAAGTAATTTTAACACATGTCTACATTATATATAAGAAGAAAGCCAAGTTACTATAACAGCCCATCTTTTTGACACATGTATTACATATATTTTTGACAAATGGAATCTTGGTAATTTTAGCTAAATTTTTCCTTCCCTTTCTTGATTCAATTGGGCCAAAAGGATTAAAATATTTTTTCTTCTTCAGAAAATCAGCTCCATCTTTTCTTCTTCTTCTTCTTGCAGCAACTGCTGTCATCCCTCACCTTTTTTATTTTTTATTTTTTAAAACTAATCTAACTAAGATTGTTGCGATATATATTTTTTTTTGGTTGAGATGATTAGCTACTTAGCAAAGAAAAGCCTTTATTATTTTTTTATCCCATTTTACATTTTCTTTTCTTCCTTTTTTTTCATCTCTAATTTCTCATATTTGCTCTATTCTTCAATCATAATATTATAGCCAACTGGCATTTGTTTGTTAAATTTATAAGATGACGTTGTTGTTTGGTATTTCTTCATGGATAAAAGGTGAACTATTAAAATATATAAAAAGATCTTGGAATTCATTTTATACCAATGATCATCTTCTGTGAAGAATAAAACAAAAATTCATTCTTTTATTTTCTCCTCCCACGATTTGATTTCTTACGTCACATTTTTTTCCTTTTCTTTGTTTTTTGGTCACATTTTGTAATTATCTACAATTTTGTGTATTTTTTTAAGGAGAAAAGATATATCATGTGATGCTTCCACCAAGATCAATCTAATTAGGCACTCTTCTACATCTATTTTTCTCTGTTTCTTTCTTCCTCCGCTTCCCCCCCCCCTCTCCTTTTACAATTACTTTATGGTCTATTCAATTTAATTGAAGGATCCAATAAGATTTTGTATATATTTAAACTAATGTTAATTTTTTTTTTTTAATTACTCAAGTGTTGTAGTATCAATTGGGCAGGCATACAAGGATTGTAGTTCGTGGTGGAAGTCACAATTGAGACTTTCAACTTAGGGCGTGACTTGACAAAAAAATCGTTAGAAAATTCAATTTTGATTAGGAAGATGCTTTTGCAATAAAAAAATGCTTTAGTTCTAATTTGTATATGTAGATCTAGAAACGTAACAATTCATATTTTTATATAACCTTGATATTTATATCCTGGAACTGCAGGATAATGTTGTCACCTTTAAGCAGGATTTAAATAAATGAATTAGCTTCTTCCATCAAAAGAAAGAAAACTATGGAAGTTTATAGTAAACTATATTGATGTTGAATATTATGCCATGTCTTAATGCCATGTCTTAGTGGCTTTCTAAACTTTTTCTCATTATTAAAGTACTAAAAGCATTATGACTGTTTTTGGTTTAATTACAACTAAAACTATACTGCTATTAATACAGTAATGCACTTATAATGTATTAATTCTCTCTTCTTTTTGGGTATCATCATAATAGTGGTTCAAAAATCTTTATTCAAATCACAATAAATAAGGGGTTGACTTCATAGATGGAATTTCTCTTCACAACAAATTTTGATGAAAATTTTATTTATACTCCATATTTTGTTAATTATATTCCTACAACAAATAAAAACTATATCATAAAAAATAATAGTGAATGTGTGATTAACAAAAATGAGAGTTCAAACAACTTTTGTCAATTTTAATTGTTAAGATTCTCAATTTTTCTCCTATATTTCTATTCATTTATCATGTGCCAAAATAATTTGATTTTATGTGTTCGACTAAATTTCTAGGGGGCCCAAGCCATGCTTTGTATAGCTCAAGTACCTCTAGTATAAAAATATGTGGGAAAAGGGAAAGAAATAAACTCACAATCAAACCTCAATCATTTTATTGAATCAAATCTCAAAAACAACAAAAGACAAGCCGGAGACCTTTCATTCTTGTGCTCACGGCTCTCACAACTCTAGCAATTCCTTGGAGTCGTCCCTCCTCAAGTGTTAACATGCTTGTAGTAGTGCGATATATATATATATATATATATATATATATAGAGAGAGAGAGAGACTAACCCAAGGGAGTAACCAATTCAAACCAGAGAGAGAGAGACTAACCCAAGGAGTAATCAATTCAAACCAACTAGGAGTTGGACTAACACTTGACTCGTTACTATTTGGACCTGGCCTCAATTACGGAAACTATACCTTATCAAAACTAGACACTGAAATAAGAAACTCAAAGAATTTAGGAAATTAAATAATAAAATAATTTGGTTTAATTTCCTTCAATATCTCTACATTCTCATTTTTGCTAACCGACTCCTTGGGAGCTCTTTTTTGAGGGAAAAGCACGACGCTTGGCACAGTTGACTCCTGATCTTTTGCCATATCTTCACCATCTTTCTTTTGTATAGATGAGCAGGAAGAAAGAACTTCATCATCTACACCGTTTGGGAGTTGTGATAGCTCTCTTTCATCTCTGGGGAAGCTCGAGTGGTACCTAACCGGTTCCGTTTGTTTTGCTGCATTCATTGGACAATAATCCTTCACTTCAGATGGATTTGTATGAGAAGTCAAATGCAGATTTTGATCTTTTCTGGTGCTAGTTCGATGTTGCGATTGCGCAGGCATGCGTCCTAAAGTCACAGGCTTCATGGCCTGAGCTTCCAGGGTTTGCATGATCCAATCATGCAGTCTCTGGACGATATAAAATCCATGGCCAAGAAAGCCTCCCAAACTCAAATGCTGCTTCAAGTCTTGTGCTGCTAGAACTGCAGAACTTGCTATGAAGATGAAGAGTCTGCAGAAAATGGCTAAAGCATCCCGCACAAAACATTCTGTAGGCAGGATGAAATTGATGAATATGCCAAAAATGCCAAGGCTTTCAGGGCTGCCCTTTAATTCATCCATATCCTCCCCCATTCTTCAGAGGTTGCATTAAAAACATCGAGGGCTTGCTTCATCCGAACGCAAGGTAATCACAGTGTTATGGGAGAGAATCTCCCACACGTCAAGCAACAAGGATTACTTTATGCCAGAAAAGTTTTCCTTTCTTTTTCCTGTGCCCAATATCCACCCAAAGTTGATTATGCTTTAAAGAAATAGGTCGCTTTCAGGAAGATACAAGATCCAGTTGCTTGACTGTTACCTTGAATATTAGTTGAAGGATTACCATGAGTAAGAAAAAGGATGACTGTTGATATTCCTACAAACATACAATTTAGGGGATATAAGTTTAGCATGTACAACAACCTTGGGACCAGTTAGTCAAGAAAGGACACAAGGAATCTCTAACCTGGTATGGTCTTCAGTTCCCAGGAATACCCGAGTCACTTTAGCCCAACTCTTGAGTTCCGCAAAATATTCCTAATCTTGACTGAATTTAGCACATTTGACACATATTTGTAGAAATTTGAAACGGGCCAAAGTCCAAGATTTGGTAAAGGAAATGAATGGGGGGAGGACAACCCCCAAGACTATTATCTATACATGAATGCCAGAGATAATAACAAAACATGTTAGTATGCTTTGATGTTCAACGAACACCACAAAACCAATCACAACACTGAATTTAAAGATGGCTCTACCAAGTCGCAAATTACAATCCTAGCAGCACTTCATCTGAAGGGTAAATTAATGTTCAGCAGATTAGAAAGCATAACAAAAATGAAAAACCTACCTTTGCTGGTTTTTCATTCAGTAAATCTAGTGCATAAAGTCTTTCCCTTCACCTCCTTTCTCCCCCCTTTGTCGGGAAGAGGTTGTGTTCATAAACTGATGTCCTGTGTAGTAACAAACCTTAATATGAACCATGCATGTAATTCCACAAAATGGATTATTTCAAAGATCCAGCAAATAAGTCTCAAGGTCTGAAAATTAAAGATAAATGATCCGACTACCCATGATCTAAGATTCCCCAAAATGGTTAAACAACTAGACGAACAAGAATTCGAGTATATCAATGCTGTAAAGTACATATCCACTGGGAATTCACAAGTCATTAGATGAATATCACTTAAAATAAGTGCAGTGTTCAAAAACTCCAAACCGTCATCCCCTCATTCAACTTTACAAGCATGAAAGTAGCTATTTGAATCTGCCCAATGACTTACAGGGAATTCACGGTATAAGCTATTCGTGGCCAAAAAAAAAATTAAAATTAGTCCTTTACATCAGAAATTTTACTGAACAAACAAATTCTAAAAAATAATAAGATGCCATTATTCAAAATTTTTAGTTTACAAAATATCTCCTCATCAGATAAAACCTCACGAAGTGTTGATTCGTCCACATAGACGCCAATATGCTCCAGGGTGGAAGAGAGATTTCTCAAAAACCCATATCTCACGCACAAGAACCTGAGGCAAAAGGGTAAGCGTCAGGTACATCTTATTATCTTATTTCAAGAGAGAAGCAATAGCTTCAGTCCTTGTCATCAAAGGTGGTGAGCATCACTGAATTTCAAATGGCATTAGATTCCAACTCTCATGGATGACAATTAAATGTGAACATCTACTAATATGAACAACTACCAAAGGGTAGGTTTTCGTTCATCCACCATGACCTGTACTAATCCTCAGTAAGGGTGGGGATTCAGTTCTCAACTAGTCACCTTTCAGATTCCTATAATCTACAATCCCCTTTTGTCCAAGAACTAATCTCAGAAGCATTGGCATATGTAATCTATTTACACGCACTTTCAAATAGGTCCCTAGAAAGTAGGAACTAGAAAGTAAATGGTTAACTTGTTCAATGTTCAAATGCTCTAACCAGGAGGGCTACCACTAAAACCTTCTAAGGGGCTACAAGATGTTTTGGCATCTTATTGGAGGCATGAATACTATCCCCAAGCAATTTAACTAATTAATTTTCCTTCGAACAGGATTAGAGTAAGGTACATTTATTACAAAGACACCCAGTAAATGGACCAGGTAACCATGATGATAATACTTACCCAAAAAAAAAAAAACCATGAAGATAATAACAAAAGTTACAGATTAGCACTCATTTCTTCAAGAAAAGTTCAGAAATAATGTTATGTGATAAACTTTGAAAGACTAGATAAACCCAATTATTAACTTCTATTGGTATCATGTAATTTGTTTACTAAAGTGCCAGAGTCTGGCAATTCTTCCGTGCAAGGACAATATTCATCCCTCGAGCAGCACAACTAAATTTTTTCATATTGAAACTCTCCATCAGATCATGGCTAACACCTAGAAGCACATCTCAGAAAAGATTAGCAAAATTTTACCAGCATATTTTCATTCACTTCACTTAAGAAGAATAAGCATTTAGCACCTACCTCCTTGTCCTTGTCTCCAGCAACAACAGTTCCATTTGTATCATATGCCTCATACTTCTGCAGAAACAAATAAAAGTGTATTGGCAAAAGTAGACAGACAAAATGATCATGAACCAAGCAAACACAAATGGTGACACTTGTGTAACAATCTATAGATGATCTTTACTATTGAACCAGAGCAGTGGGGTTATAAGATGAGCTTCTTCATGCAAGATTTGTAACTCCTAGGATAAGCAAGCCCAAAAAGCATTCTAATTTCCAATAGAATACTGCTTTTAGGCCACAGATTCGAAACAAAGAATTGCCAGCATGTGAATACGACCACACATAGACCATAGATGGCACTGGCCATAAGAGATATATAACCTTCCTAAGGCATCCTTCCAATATTGAAATCATCCTCCTTGGACTTACTATTATGTTAGTTGCTATTTCATTTGGTTGTCCTATTAGAAAAAGAAGTTACTTGTAGAAAGGTCAATCTCTACAGCACACTTGGACATCTAGCACAATCCTCCACATCATGACATCTGGCATCACCCAAAGAAAACACAGGAGTTCAGGGTCTCTCTCTCTCTCTAAAAGGACGCTTTGATCTTATTCTCTCAGATCCATAATCACTAGTTCCGTTGCTACGTTAACATTTCGCAAAAATCACTAACCAACTATGCAGATCTGAAACATGCACACACCTCAGCAACTTTCACCCTAGAGTTCGCTGCAAGATTTGACTTGAACCAACTATGCTTAGTTTTCTGTCCTGTTTCCCGCTTAGACAGATGCTAAGAAGAGTATTTCACTTATTTCTACTTATAATTCTGCACGCATGAACAACCAAATTGTAAAGAATCAAAGTACCATTGCACATGGTCCTAATGCTCGAATTAACTAATTGACTAAACACATTGTAAATTATAATCAAAACAGCAAACAAAATTCAGCAAACAATGACAAACCATTAAACACACTCACAAAGCAGATTTACCTGTTTAGTCAAAAATTCAAGTGTAAGCTGTGCAAACGCCTTATTAAGATTTTCCCGATCAATGGCAATCTGCAAAGAAACAGAAATGCCTTAATGCAGAATGAAAATACTGAAAAAGATAATCATCTTAAGGTCAAATGTAACAAATGATTAAATTTCGCTATTTGAATAATAACTCGTATCTTGAAAACTATATGAATTTCGATGACAGCAATGAAGCAACACTGATTTGCCCTATAGACGCTCTTTTTGGTAGAATTTTAAGCCTTTACACTAGAACTGACATTGGTAGAAAGAAGATACTACAAGCCCAAATCCCCTCCAGACATTGGAAATTAAACAAACTAGTGGAACACTAAGGATAGAAAGCATGAAGGGAATCCCATAAAGTTTCAAATCGTTGTGGAACAGCACTTGCTATAAATAAGATCTGCCACCTAAGGTCCTTCTCAAAGTCAAGACTAATGACCGCAGTAGAAAGACTAACAAGTAAAACATGCGTGTACGCATAAACAGGTAGCATTCCTGCAAACACATACATGCACATGAAGCATCCAGACTACAGAAAATTTCTATGAAGCATTCATAAATCAATAAGACATGCATTTTTTACCAGACACCACATGTATCCGGAAAAATGTTCAAAGCTCAACCAGCGGAAACAAAGGTCCATGTCTGGTGTTGGCCCAAAATAGCATGCAAATAAAGAAAAATCACAAAGAAATATGCAAAGAAGCAAAAGAAACATTGTAACCCAGACACATTCTCAAGTTTGTCAAACTCTGCTCTGGAAGATGTTACAACTTGCTGAGGAAAGGAAATCTATTGGTTAGCATTTCATCTGTGTAGAACCAGAATAACAAGCAATGCCTCTACATCTATGTTACCTCTTCAGCACATAAAGATAAACCTCAAAATAGCACAGCGTTTAGAATTTATGTCAATGTTCATAGATACTTGCCAGTCGAGCACGTAGTGTTTGTATTTGAACTGCTGGTTCCACCAGTTCCCAATACATTTTACTCCACCTGGATTCTCTTTGCTTGATTTCATTCTTGAGAGCCTGTTATAAGCAATGAAGGAATTAAGCTCGTCTGGATTTATATCCATATACAAATTCAAGTGGTTCCTATAAGTCAGCTTCAAGAAAGGTAGATGTTTTTAACGTCCATATATAATTGTGCCTAAAAAAGCACATTTTAGGAGAAAAGCGCACGTACAGAATACATCTTCTCTGTAACTAATTTCCTCAATGATGTTTTGTCTCCATTAGCAACTTTAGTACTTATCTGAGAAGCTCAGAAAAAGAAAAAGTTCCATGAGAAAGAAATTCCACTAAACACCACAATCAAAAGGATAACAGCAAATATAACTTGCCAAAGTTCTACCGCAGAGTAATTTCTTGATGGCAAAAGCAAACCTCTTTGTATAAGTCAAAAGCTTCATTATAGAACTTCTGTTTAGAGTATCCAGATTTTCGCAATTTAGCAATGGCATACGCAGTTTTGAGCTGCAAACACAAAATCAGTGTCTTAAGAACTTAATAATCAACAAGAAACAGGTTAAAGATCTGCAAAGATTTATTATACATGGCTCAAATCTAATCAAAGCTTCTATATAAGATCCACATACACACGCATGTGGAGCATCAGGTAACCATAAGCACTTCTATTGAGATAGAAAAGTACAAATGTGGAAATACAATTTTCAAATGACAAATTCATGTCAGTTTGGACAACTTACAAATGTGAATTTCCTGCTGTTTGCTGCAATATGAAATTAGTCCAGAAGGATAAAACAACTATCGAACTCACAGATTGACAAATCTAAATTCAATCGGGTTCATTACCTCTAAAATAAGATCATCTTTTGTTCTACGCCAACCACTTCTTGTAAACCACCTGAAATCACAAGACACAAGTACAAGCCAAGTTGATCTGTACCCATAAATTCCCTAAAGAATCATAGAGCATTTATAGTTCCAATGGAACTCAAGAACATGCTGATATCTTTTTATAAACACTCCAGGGTGTTAAACAAGAGGTCAAGAGAGTCAAAATGTCTTGCCAACTAGCTAACAGATCAGCTCTTGAAATAGTGGGGAGCAGTCAAAATCATAAGCAAAGCACAACATGCTGCTTTTTTATTTAAATAGCACATGAAAATTTCATGAATAGAACAAAAATACAACATAATTAATCTTTATTTAAAGGAAAATTCATTCTTTAACTCTATCAATTTCTACCATAACCTTGGTAAGGACAATAACGTAGAAAAATGAGAAATCAATAGTCTTAGTACATGAAAGTCTTCAATGTGTTCATGGAACACTAGCATGCCTATCTGTTAAATGCTTGCATTGTTCTCAAAATAGGTAAGAAAATGAAACCCAAGAAGGAAATGATATTTCACGGATGATATAGCTGAGGAATGATTAATATTTTATAACCAAAGAATCATTTTGTCGCAAATTATAGAAAACAATACTGGATAGATTTGAAACCTACATTTAGTAAACACAGATTGACCATTAGTACATGTATACTTTTTTTCACTTTGCCCTTTCGAGTAGCATATATAATCACCGCAGCTACTAAAATTATTTGTATCCATATACTATAAAGAGTTTGAATTCTCCTTCACTTTTAAAATGGTGAAGTTCTTGTCACAAGGAAAACTTTAATAGTAATTAGCATTGTCTTGAAGAGTATGCTAACCTTCTCCAGAAAGGAATCTTTTCACGAGGTGCATATGGCTCATACACAATTCCAGGACTCTGCATAGATACCTGAAGTGCTCCCTGCATATTAGGAGTGTAAACGAGATAATAAGCTAACATACTATTTCTTTTACAGCTGATTATATCTTCATAACCTAGCATGCACAAACAAATGATGCCACCAAGGCTACTACAGGTCAAAAAGAACAATACATCCTGGTAATCTTAAACCATATTTCTGCAATGGCCTCAAGATAACTTCTCTGAGAAATAAAGAATTGCTATATGTGGGTTTACAACATGATTGCACTTTAGCAGATTGTTGAAAAGACCAACACTTAAATGTATTAGAACACTAGAGGGAAAAAGCATGGACCACACCATAAGTATCCATTTCAGCAAAACACAATTAATTGAAGATTAGAAATTAACTAATTAACTAATAATATTTCTTTTGCTGTTTATGGATGATGTCAACTTTTCCTGTTTCAGATTCAACAGTTCTATTTCTGCTCAAAAAATTGAGGTATCCAAGTTTTGATGTTTCTCATCCCAGGACATCACCTTTTCACTCTCCAAACATAAGCATTAGGGGAAAGATGCTCGATTCAGTGTAAAATATCAAGTTGGCAGTGATATAGATGCTTTGGTAGTATATGTCATTAGATTTTTCATCCTACCTTTAATTTATATGCAAAAGGGATGTTTAAAAAGTACAAGGGAGTAACAAGAAGATAATTAACCACAGGAGGATGAAGAGTAATCTAGTTGGAAAGACATTCATATGCTGTAAATGAAGAGGCAGCACTTATAAAGAAATTGAGAGAGCAAAGAACTCAAGCACAAATCAAGACCAAAATGATATTTTCACACTCTAATGGGCCAGACAGTTGAATAAGATGTTAAGCTAGATGTAGTGAAAACTGCAATAGGTAGACCAATGATTAAAACCATAACACATGGTCAATATATTAGTAGACAATAGAAATAGCAAATCAGATACATGACTTTCAGTTACACATTTTGCCGTTAGTAAAGCAGCTAAACCTCATAACCCACAGAATCTATTGGCCATTAATAATTCACCTGGCAAACAACATTAACAGCTCTCAATCATTTCTAAACCAAAAATTTGCCATAACAACAATTTCTTAGGTGAGAACCAGAATGCTAATACCATAGCAAATTATCAACTTTTACAACCTTTTGAACAAGATATAGGACAGTATTTGTCACCATATGTTACATTGAAGAATTATGACTAGTTGTGCTCCCACTTTATCTACCTTTTTTCGTAAAAAGACGATAACACAATGGGAAAAAAAAGCATGAAAACATTATCTATCAGGAACTTTGATACCCTTGTGCTCAACTCCTTGTTGCATACCAAGCAATTTAAAAATTGACCATTAATCAGCAATATCAAGGATAAACTCCCATACCATTAGTCGTGCTTGGGCTGGAGCTTTTGCTTGTGTTGTAACAAATCTAGCATAGCCAAAATTGGATAGCTCAGCTACCTATGAGTAAAAGTTAAATGCTCGGTGAGATTCAAACATCACGGTTTATCAGACAGGAAATTTGACCAAAAAAAGAAATTCTAAAGACAAAACAAATAGCAGCAGCAAACAGCAGAGAAAAAAACAGTGGAAGAGAGTCAAGCACAGAATCCACAAAACTAAGACTCAAGTAGATGCATCCATGTAGGAGGAACAGAAGTCATCCCAGAAGAGACCAAGCACCAGCAAAGGAATATAATCCAAAACATGAAAGCAACATTGCCATTTCACTTTCAAAAAACCTACCGTTGTTGCTTGAAGTATGATTTTAGTACCAGGAGTCCAAGGAAGTCCTCTAGGGTCCTTAGTTACACAGGATGACATGGTCCTACAAATAGCTAGCGGAACAGTCCCTGCCAGAAAAATATAGAGAAATCAACAGTGTCAGCCTGAAATTTCTTGAACTTTTGAATAAACAAACCAAATGTGAAAAAAATACTTTCCTAGAAGTGTAAAAGGTGAAATGAGAAAGAATTAATGAAAACGTAGGAAGTTTCTCCTTACATTTATTACATGATTGATGATTAAGATATCTTCCATCCAAACAAGAGGAATTGCCCCAGGATTTGGAATCTGATCATAAAGAACATTACAGCCCATCAACCATACCAGAATTTAGAATTACGAGTCCCACATAACAAGGAGCCAAGTCAAAATTCATAGGAAAAACCCATCTTTAAGATAAAAAGGGAATTCAAATAGGAAATTAATGGTCAAAAAAATTAAAAAGAAATAAATAAATTAGAAAAAGCCTATAACTTTGTTCAGCAAGCAAATTCCAGAAGCACTCCTGAACTGTAAAAAAAGACAATAAGAATCCCATTTCGCCTAATTTAGCTAATGTAAGCGAGGAAAATAATTTTCTTTCTTCTAACTTTTTAGAAGGGGAAAACCACTTCCCTGTGTGATCCGCATAAATCAATTCAATCCAAAAGAAAAAAAGGCACAGCAGAAACTTTTCCAATGCATAGACATATTACCAGAAAGAACCAGTCATACAGAAATTTTTCTTCAAAAAAAAAGAGAAAAAAGAAAAAAGAAATACATGAACAAATTACCATGTGAAATGACATTTGAATATCTTCCTGAGCTCCCAAGCCTGCAAGACAGTTATACCAAGTGAAATTTGAAATAAAGGGACAAAAGAACGATTCTTGAAAGTTTTCAACGTCTTAGGAGTAAAAATAAAGGAAACTAACAAACGGGACAATTCTGGAATTTGATTTTTTGCTCGATAGAGATTCCGGATCAATTGCAATCGAGGACCCAAACCCATTTTTGAGTTTCCACAGAGGAGACAGAGACAGAGACAAAAAGAAAGGGTTTTTGGGTTTCAAGGGTTTAAGATTTCAGGGGATTACCAGCAGCGCTAGAGTTGCTTTTTTTGGTTCAGTTGAAGGCGCGATCTATATTTCACGTCTTTGAACTTTGGTTTTGGTGGCAAAAAAAAACATTTCTTTTGTTGTTTTATTTTAGGGAAATAACGGTGCCGTTTGGATAGTGTATTATTTGGGATATTCAAAATTGATTTTTGTGAATGATAAAAGTTCCAAATAAGCATCTACTTGAAATAATTGTTTGGATAGCTAAAACATTTATTTATCATTTTCCCACCAAGAGCTATTTTCTTATAAGTGGTTCACCACAATTTGACTATAAATGCTCGACATTGGAGTTTCTACTTACAATGTACCTATTCGACTTCAATCACCAATTCTAGTTCGCTCTACTTGGCTCTAGTGTGGCATTAGTTCCTTGGATAGTAATGATATTGTCCATATTTCAGATACTGTCTTCTAGCGCCTGCATCGCCCTTGGGTTGCATACATTTCATTAGCCATTGCATCTCGTGCTACCTTTCACGCCTCAACCTCTTCTCAAGAAACATTTAACGGCTACATATGTATCTTTTCTCCGGGTTGGGGTTATACCTCGAAATGGACATTCTCATCCTCAAACTCTCAAAAGTGAGCATCCCTAGGCTGTGCTATTCTCAAAAAATTATGTAATGCACAACATGCAATTACCATACTAATTTGGGTGCTCATATAGAAATTCAGCACTGTGTTTATGAGGAATTTAAATCTTGCCTTCAAAACACCAAAACTGTTCTCTATAACATTCCGAAGTTCTGAATGTCGAGTGTTAAACAACCGTTTGGTTGGGTCTTGTTCACGTACATTCTTATATGGTGGTAAGAAATTCGGAATGTTTCTATACGCTGCATTGACCAAGTAGCACTAGCCTATATTTCCAAAAATTGTAGGGGATGTTAGCACAAAAATTAATAGTCAACTATTGCCCCCAAAGTGTGTGTCAAATATTAATGTCACCACTTATGACCTGAAAGGCGGAATCAAAAAATCTGATGGCGGCATCAACACAGATTCAAGAATGCGGGTATCATGGACACTACCTTCCCATCCAGCGTACACGTAGTTGAAGCGCATGTTAAAAACACAGACTGCTAGGACATTTTGTGAGTGAATCCTATGTCGATTGGTATACGTCATTTGCTCTCCACTAGGTGGATATGTCGGAATATGTGTCATCCAAAACTCCAACAGCACCCTGTTCATTTGGATCAATCAAGTATTTTATTTTGGACTGTTTGCACCTCAAAATTAATGAGGCAAATGTTATGCTCTTTAGCCAGAATTAACAGCTACACAAAATGTCAGTTCTTTTTTACTTGAAAACTTAATATAAAGTCACGATAACTTTACCTTGAACCATCGATAGAAATGTCTTGAATTCGCTATTCTTGGGTGAACATTATCATGGTCATACGGCCTTATTAGTGTGGAGGCAAATCTGTATAGGCCAAGTAACTCTATGCACGTTCCGGTTAATTGTCCCCGTTGACCGATTGAAACATTCGGCTAGCATACACTGAGTGTGGCGATGACTAACCATGACTAATGTCATTGCCAAAGCTTCCTCGATTTCAACCCTTTGCTGATAGGATCTGGATACATAACCATTATGCACTAGTATGTCACATAATCGAAAGAAATTATCAATCATTATCTGCATGTTTTCCATTTTTTGTCGGTAATGTCCATTGATCAACTCTTCGACCCATTCGCGTCCACTTAAAGAGTCCTCATGGTGAGATATTTTATCCCTATTCAAGTCTCGATGCAGTGTCATTAATTCTGCTGCCAAGGGTAGCATGGCCTCGCCCCATTCATCGTCTACAGATATGGAGTGCCTTCGTCCTCTTGTTGTATTCCTATTGTTATTTGTCATGTTCCTAATGCATAGAGGAAAGCTATATAATAAGTTAAGGAATATGGACAAATTGACATATACATTAGGACATGGTACGCGAGTATGTTTACCTTCATAGTTAGTAGGCCACAGACGTTTGGATAGCAGAAAAATTGAAATTGTAGAGCGAGAGCAGAGCATGAGCAAGAGTTCTGCGTGAGTTGTAGTTTCCTTCAGACATCACACATTATACAGGAATTAAGCCGCTGACGCCCATTAATTTATGCCAGAGTTTTGCATGGCTCTCTATGTTATGTGCTCCCACTTTCTATTAAGGCTGACATGTTACAGGTGAAAGTCTGATTTCCATTTCAATGACTACTCATTCGCTTTCAAAAATAAGATGATAACTTTTTGCTGACTTCCTATATATAATTATGGTCTCCAAGACCGGGAACATATAAGGAATCAAATTGTGAAAGATGTGGCAGAGATACACTCTTGATTATATTAGTCCTTTAAATATTATTATATTTCATATTATTCTGTGAAGTAGGACCTTTAATCATATTGGTGCCTTTAAATATTATTATATTTTATAGCCTTGTTTTATTTTTTTTAAAGAAAAATTTGCATTTCTTTAACATATATAGTAAATGTGTGAATGCAATTGCCCCAATTGAACCCAAATGCTGACGTGGCGCTCTCCCATTGGTTGATTGGTGGTAGTCCTCCAATTGATTCCAATTTGATGAGTTGTCGTCCTCTGATTCGTCGATTGGTGGTGGTCCTCCCAATTGTATATTAAATTGATGATGTGGCGAGTTTTGATTGGATGAAAAGTAATAGTCCTCTAATTGCATGTAGGATTGTGCTAAAATTTTGCTTCTTTCTTTTTTATCCAACAAATCACATTAACAAAAAATTTGGATTCTTTTTTTTCTTTGTTGTCCGTCAAATCACATATAATTACCAATTCTTTGCAATTAATTGTTAATAACTAATTTAATGTCATGTTTCTTGTCATTCAACAGATCGCGCTTGATGAGTTGGGTCGTGTTTAATTACCGACTCCTTCAGTTATTACCAAAAAATATATATATTTTAGGGCAAAACAAATAATAATTATCATTTTTTACCGTTGATTGTTAGCAATTATTTATTGCTTTTCGTTGGCCTTTTTTAGTCTTCTGCCAAATTGCATATATTTACTGATACTTTGCAATTCATTGTTGCTGGCTGCTTAATAATGGTTTTTCCCTTGCTGTCTAATGGATCGCGTCTAATTAGCGATTTCTTGCAGTTGTTAGGCAAAAAAAAAGGGACATTTTTTCGCAAAAAAAATATATTTATCAACTGTTTTATTTTATGGATGTTATAAAAAAATGCCCTTTTTGCTGTTAATGTTTCGTTAGTTAATTAATACTTCAATTTTTTAGCTTCTTTTTTATGCTCCGGCGGATTGTATGAGCAAAAAGTGTCCTTTTTTTCCTCCTCCACCAAACTGCATGTATTTACTGGCGCTTTACGCTTAATAGTGCCTTTTTTTGGTCATCCAATAAATCGTGTTTAATTAGTGCTCCCTTGCAGTTGTTAGCCAAAAAAGACCATTTTTGTTCCAAAAAAAAAACCAAGTTTAATCTGTTTTTTTTATTTTCTTTTATCAAATAGATGCTTTTCTGCCATTAATGCTTCGTTGGTTAATTAATAATTTCATTTTTTCCCCTTTGATGATTCGTTGTTTATTTGGCCGCTCTTCTTTTTTTGCTCCAGTGGATCATCTTAACAAAAAAAAAATGACCATTTTTTTCTTCCACCAAACTGTATCTATTTACCAATACGCTACAATTAATTGTTAATAGCTATTTAATAATGTCTTGCTTTTTATTGTTCATCTAATGGATCGTGTTTAATTACCGGTTCCTTTAGTTATTAGGAAAAAAAAATATTTTTGCCAAAACAAATAATAATTATCATTTTTTAACGTTGATTGTTAACAATTATTTATTGCCTGATCTGACCCAATATATTGAGTTAGCAAGAAAGTGCCTTTTTTCCTACTTACATTCATATTTACCTATCAATTTCTCTCTGTTAATTGTTGCCTTTTCCTCGTCACTTTTTTTTTGTTATTGTTAATGATTACTTAATTTGTTGGCCTGCATTTTAGCTGTTCAAAAAAAAAAATTGCCTCTCTATTAGTATTTTTTCCTTGAACAAAATCTTTTTTTTCGTATGTTTGTCTAAAAAGTTGCACTTTCCGTTGCTGGCCTCGATTTTTGCAATCTACTTTCTGCGCATCTTAATCGAATACATCCTCAGCCATCACTTCTGATTACTTCCATTTGGTGGAGAGTTGTATTTGATGGGAAAGTTGGTACCTCTATTTTACTAAACTACCCAGCCTTTATCTTTCCATTTGCTCAGTTTCTCTTTTTTCCTTATTTCCTGCTCATGGACATATTTGTAAAAATGAAGTGACCGTCATTGTTGCCTTCTGCCAAACATCACCTTTCAGCCTTGCTCTGTTCAGGGATAATCCGGTGTTTTCCTTTTGTACAGTGGTTGTTACCATTACCTGGTTTGTTCTAGCAGAACCTCGGCGGCTTACCATCATGATCGGCGGTAGATCTACAGCTGCTGCATCCTCCATTCTAATCCCTTTCGGCTACTTTTTTTCTGGACAGAATAGAGGTTAGCTATCAACTTCCTTCTGCTCTTGCTCTTGCTTCTTTTTGGCTTTTTCATTACTAATTTCCTGACTTTGTTTCAGCTTGCAAAGTTGCTATCTCTGCTGTTTTGCTGGTGAGTGCCTTGCTCCAAGAACGTTTAACTTAGTCCCTCTGCATCTGTTGAGATTTTTTTTACAAAAAAAATAATTACTTTCCTTTTTTCCCTTGTTGCTTTGTCATTTTACTTAGTTATTGCCTTCTTTTCCCAACAACGGTTTCTTTCTTTTCTTGCGCACCAGCTTAATGCCTTTAATTTTTTCATTGCACTCGGTCTATTAGCACGGGCTTTTTTTTCCTTGTTCTGTTTCTTTTCGCTATTAGCTTTTGTATGCTCGATTTTATCGTGGTACCGCCTGCTTTTCTCTGATTCTGCCCCGAAGCTTTTTTTGCATCCAGACAGGTTAGTGTTTCTGGTTCTCCTCTCTTTCCTATTTCTTTTATATTTTGCTATCTATATTCCGTCTCTATCACTTGTATTTTCTGCTATGTGGTTGGTTGCATCTTCTTAGAGCCTCACTTCTTTGACTTGAATTGCGGGAGCTTATTTACTACTTCCCGAAACTTTTGGATGACTTTGTTGGGTTAACAAGGAGCTTTTCAACTCCTGTTCCTGTACTATTACTGCTGAAGGATGGAAATTATAGACAGCCTTGCATTTCATGCTGAACTACTTTTTGTTACTTATTTTATGTGTCCATTTCGTTTGTTTGCTGCTTATTTCCTAGCTGTTGGATTTCTTATCTTCCTGCCCGTTGCTTGCTTATTAATTTTAGCTTGGACATTTACAGACCTGTTTCCTTTTTTTGTGTTTTTTATTTGTTCAATCTTGCCTTTCTATATATAGTCCCTGTGCGCTTTACCCAATTAGAGTGAATGGGTAAAAGTTCTGCTCGCCGCAAAAGGTACGCAGAAATGCCGGACATAGAAAAAAATGAGCTTTTGCATCGTCGAAGAGAAGATAAGGCTGCCAAAAAAAAAGAAAAACGTCCTCTCTCGCGTATTCGCAAGGTTCCGTTTGGCTATGTGGAAACATGTGTTTCTTTCCCTGAGGCACTCACTGTCCCGACCGATTGTAGCAAGCAGCCTGTTATGCATGGCCAGATGCTAGAAAGTGGGAGTTTTAAAGACGGCCATGATAGCATCGGTGTTATTGCTGAAGCGTTACAGTACATGTCATCTCGTGAGTCTGCTTCCTTTAGTCTTCATAGCCATTCTGCTTCCTCTTCTAAGGAAATGCATCCTGCACCAACAAGGGGTGTACTAGGAGGTGTCAACCTAGAACATCCACTCACTGATACGGCTAATCTTAGGAGCTGTCGACCTATATCCCTTCAAGGAAAACGAAAAAGCTTAGCCTCCTGTTCTTTTACGGCTACGCCTGATCTTCATCTTTTTAACAAAAAAAATAAGAGCTCTGCCTTTGTATCAGGGATAGATGAACTAACAAACTTTCTGGAAGCTCCTTACTGTGACAAAGAGATCCTGCCTATGAACAATCTTTTTGAAAATGTGATTCAATATTGTCCTATAACTGATTTTCCCATGAATTCTAAAAAAGTATATTCTCCTCTTCATGAGTGCCCAAGTCTTGGAACAAAAACTGCTTGCTCTGAACCTTTTTTGCTGCCTGACCAAACAAGCAGCTTTCCTCTTCTATTTGATAAATCCATACGTCCATTTTCCACTGAGAAACAAGTTTTACCTGATAATGGACTTTTTGAAAATGTTGTTAAGTTCTCTCCTTTGTCTAATCCTTATATGGACTTTGGAAAAAACCAGCCTGTCTTGAATGATATCCATAGAGAACTATATCTGCAAAGAGAAACATCTGTCTCTCAAAAACAATCTTCTGCATCAGCAGCAACTTCTCAAGGTATATATTCCTTTGCCTTTTTCCATGTGATTGCAGATACTTCTTTCGCTGCCCTGCCCACTTAGATCCTCTGCAAAAAATATATATTTTCCGGTTCTACTTGACTGGAACTTTCATTATTTGGTCCCTCTGCTGCCTGTACGCAGCCAGATGCCTTTAAACTTTTAGATTCAGCTCTTTTCTTTATATAGTTGCAGAAATTTCTTCTGTTCAAGATAGAGAGTCTAACAAGTCTGCCAAAAAAAAACGTGTTCAAGGGAAAAAGGGTCACCGTCGTAGTTCTTCTGCTCTCCGATCTAGAAAGCAGCCTTCTGGTCAAGCTCGTAATTCTCATGAACATGTCAGGAAGCAGGCTCCGGGTTAGCTTTTTAATTCTCCTTCACTTTCTATAGCTTACCAAGCTATGCAATTAAGTTGATTACCTAAGATGCCGATACTTAGTGCCTTTCTCAGCTATAGTTTGTAATTAAATGCAGCGAGGCCTCGCAGAGGTCGCCAACAGGGCCTTTTTCAGCTTGATGAGATCCCTCATGAAACCATTACCCTTCCGGATGTTCCTAACTGTCACCACTGTGGAGCTAAGAGGTTCTATTTAGAACCTCCTAGCTTTTGTTGCTCTGGCGGAGAGATCTCTTTAGTTATTCCAGCAATGCCTTATGATCTTAAGCGCTTGTTTATCGGAAATGATGAAGAAAGCGCTCACTTTAGGAATAATGTTCGAACCTATAATAATAACTTGGGCTTTACATCCTTTGCTGCGAGGTATGACCCAGAATTGACCAAGAATACGAAAGGTGTTTATACCTTTTGTATTCAAGGCCAAGTCTATCACTTCCTCAATGGTTTGACGCAGCCAGCCGACAAATCATCAGGAATTCAGTTCTACTTCTTTGACACTGATGAAGAATTAGCAAAGAGAACTGGAGCTTGTGAAAAGTTGCGCGAAAGCACTTTAAAATTCCTTATGCGCATCCTTTTGAATAATCCTTACACCAAATTCTTTAAAAGCCTCAGGGATATACCAAACCTTGACAACTATAAAATCATCCTTAACTGTTACCCTGGTTTAGACCAACGTGTCTATAACCTGCCATCCGCCTCACAAGTTGCTGCCATATGGACTGAAGATGAAAATGAAACAGTAGACAGGAGTGCTCATATTCAGGTCTATACTCACTCACATACCAGTCATAGGATTAATCATTACTATGGCTGTTATGACCCTCTACAATATCCTATTCTTTTTCCTCGAGGTGAATGTGGATGGCACCATGGTATTAAAAGACTATATAAGAGGAAAAGAAATGGGGACTCCTGTGAGGATGATTCTAACGTTGATCCTTCTTCTGTTAATGACCCTTCGCACTTAATGGACTTGGAGCGCAGAGGCAAGTATATCACTTACTGCTTCTGCACTATTAAATATTAAACTTAGAACATCTTCTTCATCGACCGAATATTTGTGTCTTATATAGCTGTCGATCGAGCGAAGAACGAGGGAGACACGGTATCAGCTAGAGAGTATTATTGCTACAGATTTCAGATAAGGGATGATGATGAATCGATGCTATTGCACTGCCTTAGGCTTCTACAGCAATTTTCTGTTGATTCTTATGTGAAGATAGAAACTTCGAGGTTGGACTTCCATAGGCATCGACAAAATGTGATAAGATCGGAGATTCTCCAAGGAGTCTTGGACAGTGTTTCTATAGGCCAGTCTGAAGGGTCTAAAGTCGGTCGTAGGATAGTTCTTCCATCCTCTTTTATCGGCGGCCCGAGAGACATGAGGCGCCGGTATCTTGATGCAATGGCGCTCGTTCAGAAATATGGTAAACCTGATATTTTCCTTACCATGACCTGCAATCCAGCATGGAAAGAAATTCAGGACAATCTAAAGTATCATGAGAAGCCGCAAGATAGACCGGATCTTCTAGCCAGAGTTTTTAGAGCTAAATTTGAGATGCTCAAGTCTGAAATTTTGAATAAGCAGATTTTTGGTGAGGTCGCAGCATGTGTCTATGTTATTGAGTTTCAAAAGCGTGGCTTTCCCCATGCTCATTTACTCTTGATCTTAAAACCTCAGTACAAGCTGCTTAATCCTGAATCTTATGATAAAGTTGTCTGTGCAGAGTTACCTGATCGTACTCGTTACCCTCACCTATACAATCTTATTGTCAAGCATATGATCCACGGCCCTTGCGGGGATATGGATAAAACTTGCCCTTGTATGAGAGACGGTTCATGCAAAAGTCATTATCCCAGAGATTTTTGTTCACAAACAACTCATGCTGAAGATGGTTACCCACATTATAGAAGAAGGGATGATGGTAGAAAAATAAAGATCCGACGGTTTACTCTCGATAATAGGTGGGTTGTGCCTTACAACCCGTACCTCCTTGCTTTGTTTGATTGCCACATAAACGTCGAGATCTGTTCGACTATAAAGCTGGTGAAGTACTTGTACAAGTATGTGTTTAAAGTTCATGATCTGGTTTCTTTTAAGGTCGTAACTGATGCCGGTCCTCCTGATATCGATGAAATTAATGAGTTTCAAAAGGGTAGATATATTTCGCCTCTCGAGGCTTTTTGGCGCATCTATGAATTTCGTCTAAATGAGATGACTCCTTCTGTTTATACACTCCAAGTTCACCTTCCAAATCAGCAGTTTGTTTCCTTTGATAAAAACTCAGATCTCTTGCTATTATTAGCCAAGGCTGACTTTTCAAAAATCATGTTAACTGAGTTTTTCAAAATGAATGCAACAAATGCAGTGGCTGAAAATCTTAAATGTTTCTATAGGGATTTCCCTCAGCATTTCGTTTGGACTGCTAAGTATAGACACTGGACAGAAAGGAAACGTCGGAAAGTGATAGGTAGACTTGTTAGTGTTAGTCCAACAGAGGGAGAGCGATATTATCTACGCCTTCTCTTAACTCATGTTCCTGGACCGACATCATTCGATGATCTATTAACTGTGAACAACAAAAAAATGAGTTCGTTCAGAGATGCTGCCTTTGCACTTGGTCTGTTACAATCTGATTCGTATATAGAAGAAACGCTTGAAGAGGCTGTTGCGTTTCAGATGCCATCTTCGCTCAGGCTCTTATTTGCCACTCTTCTGGTATATTGTTCTCCAACTAATCCCAAAATGTTATGGGAGAAGTTTGAACCAGATTTCTCTAGAGATTATGAAAGACATCAGCAATATCATCCCTGCTCTCCTGATGAAATTAGGAGACTTGTTCTGGCTGATATTAACAGATTGCTTGGCCAGATGGGTAAAAATATTAGTGACTACCAATTGGTGCCGCATAATCTCATGAGTTCATATAGCACGTCCCTGACGAAGGAAATTGAGTACGAGAGAAACATCAACGTACCGTCAGAGGATATGTTACTGTCTTCCAGATTAAATTCTGAACAGAAATATGCTTATGATTTAATCTTGCAAGCATGTTTCTCTTCGCATGGCCATCCTTTTTTTATTGATGGCCCGGGGGGTACCGGTAAAACTTTTTTGTACCGGTCGCTCCTCGCTACTTTGAGATCACAAGGTCATATCGCCATTGCAGTGGCGACATCTGGAATTGCAGCATCTATCTTACCTGGAGGAAGAACTGCACATTCAAGATTTAAAATACCTCTTGACTTTTCAAAGAGCAAGACTTGCCAGCTGAGCAAGCAAGGTAGCGTTGCGAAGTTACTCTCTGAATCCAAATTGATCTTGTGGGATGAGGCTTCAATGGCCAGACGAGAAACTATTGAAGCATTTGATGATTTGCTGAGAGATATTATGGAATGTAACCTGCCTTTTGGGGGCAAAGTTGTCGTTTTTGGTGGGGATTTCCGACAAACACTGCCTGTAATTGAGCAATCAACAAAAGAGGTCCTTTTACAGTCCTGCTTTCTTAATTCCCCTTTATGGCCTCAACTTCATAAGCTAAAGCTGTCAGAAAATATGCGAGCTATATTAGATCCTCAGTTTTCTGAATTCTTATTAAGTGTGGGCGAAGGAAAGGAACCTGTTGACCTGAATGGTGAAATAACTCTCTCCACAGATTTAGTCATTCCTTATAACGATAAAGAAGAGTCGCTGAACAGGTTAAATAATTTACTACTATGCTGGTTTATCTGTCTGACTTTTTACCTATATAATTCCTAACTTAATTTCTCTATTAACAGGTTAATAAGTTGTGTTTTCCCGGATTTACCTCTCTATTCTCGAGACCCTTATAGTATGATCAATAGGTGTATTCTTGCTCCTAAAAACAGTTCAGTTGATGAGTTAAATGATATCCTAATTAGGAGATTTCCTGGAAAGCTGTATACTTACACTAGCACAGACAAAACTGTTGATCAGAGGCACCAAGGTGATTATGAAGATTTTCTCAATTCTCAAAATCCAAAAGGCCTTCCTCCTCACAAGTTAATGCTAAAGGAAAACTGTCCAATTATATTGATGAGGAATCTTAACCCGCTAGAGGGCCTTTGTAATGGTACTAGACTCATATGTAGAGAACTTGGCCATCACACTATTTCTGCTGAAGTTGTTTTCGGCCAGCATCAAGGAAAAATTATCCTAATTCCAAAGATGCCTCTACAGACTCCTGATAATGAAAAGAATGGCGTTGCATTCATAAGAACGCAGTTTCCAGTCCGCCTTTACTTTGCATTGACCATCAATAAGTCCCAAGGACAAACTCTCGACTATGTTGGCATTTATTTACGTGAACTTGTTTTTTCTCATGGACAGCTCTATGTAGCTCTGTCCAGAGCCAAAACTTCATCTGCGTGCAAGATTCTCATTGTTCCGGGGACTTTTGATGGTACAAAAAAAGACTGCAAAACTAGAAATGTTGTATTCAATGAAGTATTTCAGTTCAGTTAGCTATATATCTTTCTTGCATTCAGGTATATCTGGATATCCCTATCCCTTAGTTTACTTATTAATGTTATTTCATCCGTATATCACTTTCCAGATTATACATTTTTTTGCTTCTTCTTTTTTCAGGATGACTAACATGTTATCAATCAGAGATATCGCTCCTAATATGAAAAATTGGTGCTGTATTGTAACTGTTCAAGAAAAGCAACAAGTTACTGATTCAATGGGAACACCGACCAAGAAACAAAAATTGATCTTCTATGACTCCGAGGTTATATTTTAGAGCATATTTTCTAAGCATGTCAGTTCTTCAACCTTACACTCGTTTCAATGGACTTTTTCAATTGATCTCCTTAACAGGGTTCTAGAGTAGAAGGCATCATTTTCAATGCTGACATACCTAAGATGAGTCCTGTTCTTCAAGTTTATCGAAAGTACAGGATCTCAAATGCTGATGTCAGAAGCATTCCACCAAAATTTCAGACCTCTGACTTGACTGTGCAATGGGTGATTACTGCTAAGACTGTTATTGAAGAAGTTAATAGGGAAGAAGACATCATGCCTGTTAAATTTACCTTCACAGAGTTTGCAGATTTAGCTCAATACATGGACGACAAAGGCAAGTCTATAGGTAAGTTTTAGCTACCTTTGAAGTGCGAGTTTGCCCTCATCAAACTGATTATTACTTTCCTGACCTACCTTTGCTGTCTCGTAGACGTTCTGGGAGTTGTAATCAGTTCATTAGAGAAGAAAACGATAACTAAGAACTCCAAACAGTCAAATGTTCAGAAATTTGTCCTCCTTAATGAACAGTAGGCACCATCTTTTTATAATCCTATTACTGTTTTTGGCTAGCTCTATCTTCTTGTTTTTGTAACCATCTTTATTTCTTTGAATGTTGACTTATATGTCAATGTGAATACTAGGTCTCAAACAGTGATGCTATCTTTGTGGGATAACTTTTTGAACAATGAAAGACAGATTTTATTGAATACCATTCAGGCCTATCCAGTTGTCATCGGCCGCAGATTAAAAGTTAACAACTACAATGGTTCGTTAAAATACTGCCCTTCTGTATAATAGCCTTTATTTACTTATTTTAAAGCTTGCCAGTGATGCCTGAAATCTTCCGCTATTGTTTATTCTGTAGGAGTTTCACTCTCTACCTGGTTTGATTCTGCACTTCTTGTTGACCCACCCATACAGGAAGCAAGAGAGTTGAAGAATTGGTTCAATGCCTATTTCTTTGCTTTTTTCATAAACACGCAATATGAGCTTTTCTCATTTTTTTCCCTTATTCTCTGATTTCATCATTCGCTGTGCAGGGCAATGAGAAATACTAAATTAATTGCAAGCCTGATTGAAACAAAGAGTTACATCAAATACAATCCTGAACTCTTTTTGAAAGCAGACCAAAAGACTACTTTAATCTGTAATGTTTCTCTGTCACAGAAGGTGCTATGACGCTTTTCCTATTTATCCACTTTCCTTAAAATTAGTCATGCATATTTAGCTTCTGAACTTATATCTGGTTACCTTTTAGACTACGCTGGTCAAGGCAAAAATCTCTTTTGAGCACATTTTCCAGAAATATTGGTATATGAGCTGTGGAAAATGCAACTGCGCTACTGCAGCAGACTACGACATTGAGTTTACCTGCAATTCATGCAAGCAGAAGAGTCCTGTTGTGCCCAGGTGCTATATTATTAAATCCTCAGCATTAAATTTAGTAGCAAATTGTACCTAAATTCACCAGGCTTCAATCCATTACCTAATACGGTACATGTTTACTTTCCAGATGTCGGTTCGACGTTGATTTAAGTGATGACAGCGGAGTTATACCAGTCTCGGTCTTTGGCGACCTGGCAGAGAAGCTTCTCACCTTCACCGCCCTTGAAGCAATGGATCATTTTAACCAAGTTATTTTAGCTTCATGTGGTTGTTAGTGAAAGCAGCAATCTACTCCCAATTGTTATTCCTTTTTGTGTTGCCTATAGAACCATGAACTTCCACTTGAGTTTGCTCACAACAGCCTGAAAACAAAGACTTTTCTGCTCCATATTAAGCCAATCCAGACTCAATTAGCGGATGCCAGGCAACGTTATACAATTTTGCATTATTCTGAACTTGAACAAGGATTTGATTCTGCTCAATTACTAGAACAACAAAATGCTTTACCTATCTCGTCTGAGCACAAAATTGACGCTGCTCAGCTGCTGGCTCCAGGTTGGTCCACATAGTTACAGTTTTAACAAATAACTTTCGTATCTTACCATCATATCCAACTAATCTTTATCCTTGTAGAAGAAAGTAGCTCTGGTTCAAAAGCTCGCCTCCGCCTCAGTGATAAGTTTGATGAAGCAGAAACTACTGCCAGTGATGACGTTGAGACTGCTACTAAGAATTCCAACAAGAGGACAAAATTGAGATGAATTAGGAGTTTGGAAACTTTTTTGCCTTTTTCATCTGCACTTCTATATGCAAAACAACACATTTTTTGTTACTTTTGAATGTGCTACTACTATGTTTGTAAGCCTTATGACTTCTCTGCGTGGTGACCTGTCAAACAGCTTTTGCATCACCATCTAACGTCGATGCTTACTTTTGTATCAATGTTCCTGCCAGCCCTCCAAAGATGAATTGCAATCTTTATCTTGGATATCAAGGAGATTTTCATAGAAATCTTTGGATTCCTGGCAAGGAACTTACTTTGTTCATTGTATCGACTTTAAAATTTATATGATTTTGGAGTGCTTTTCTGTTCCTTTTCATCTTCTTTTATGCAAATGTTGCAATCAATTCTTTAACCGTCCAGCTATGTATGTACACTTCTTTATTTATTGCACCTACTACCTTCTTTGGGACGTAGAGATTATAAATTCACCTTGTGTTGCTCCTTTCTAGACTGATTCTTTGACTGCATATATGACAGACATGACAAAAGCATGGCTATCTATGAATTCCTTGCAGGCAATTAAATTTTCCAAGTACAGGGTAGATGTTAGCTTTATATTGTGGTCAGCTGATGCCTCACACCTAATAAAAAACATTGAATTGTCATTTCTATTGCCCATTCTTTACCGTCCTCTACTGCAATCAATAAATTTCTTCACTTAGAGTACAAAGCAGGTCTGCACTCGCCATTAAAACCAACGAAAAAGGTGTTTATATGTGCTTTTAAATCTTCAGAAAATGAACTTGCCTTGCACACCCATCTTCCTTAAATTGATGCCTTCTTTTTCTCCGCTTCTTAAACCTTCCTTCTATTAGTTCAATGTCAGAAATAAGCTGCACAACAGCACCAGACCTTCATCTCACGTATGACAATTTAACAGCTTGTTGTTTTCTTCTCAAGTGCATCCATAGAGGACAGGTTTGGTCTTTCTTTATGCACATCTAAATGATCTAATTTAAATGTTTATGCCAAAGACTTTATCAACACTATTTATATTCTCCATGGTCTCCAGATATTTCCTTCTCAATTTGAGCTATTGCTTGCTCAACACCAATCCAGCCGAATCATTCTCAGGATTGGACTGCAACAATGGCCCATAATGGTCACTAACCATTCGTTTGGAGAAGGCTGGGATTATTTCTGCGAGCACAATAGCATTAAAAGACATGACACGCTATTGCTTCGCCATGCCGGAAGTCTAATATTTGATGTAATTCATTTTTCTGAACTACAAACACATGTTTATATGCGCTGGACAGCTCCCCTGCCAAATCTTTTACAGACAAGCAATTTTACTTTGCAAGGTTCTACCACCATTCTACCTATCCTATATTCTAATGTATACAATATATTACTTCTAATTGAATACATGGTTCGTAATTATTGCTAATAACTGTTCAGGCACTAGACAGCAGCATGTAGCTTCCTCAATGCAACCGGATCTCTGTCAAAATTTATCCGATTCTATGTGCTTTTACCAAATTTTCCACTCAGCAACTCCAAATAGCTTGGTGAACTATTCTCTCCTTGCCTTCGTCCTTTTAATCCCTTTGCAAGCAATTTTCTTCTGATTCTACATACATCCTAATTTTAATCTATTACTATCAGCAAATTCCACGCTTTGTTGATCATTTCATAAATCATGAAAGAACTCCTACGTTGCTTATCAAAACTGGATATAGAAGCACTCAAATTGGTGTCAAGTGTGAACGCCTTCAGCGAAATTGGAGAACTTTCGTTCTTGAGCACCAGCTACAGCATAATGAAATCCTGGCATTTATTCCAGAATCAGAAACTGTCTTCACAGTTTTTATCTTTGATGATACCGGTGTTGAAAAAATTTTCCCATGGTATCACACGTTTAATATCTATTCAGATGTCTAGGAATCCAGCTGCAATATATGATGTAGTCTGCTTATCATTAGTTAAATAAAAGAAATTTGCTATTTTCCATCAACTACAACCTTTATTTCCATTGATCGGTCAACAATACTATAAAAAATAATATATATTCTTGTCTCTCATTTTTTTACAAAAAAACAATTATATCCCATGTCTTCTTTCTGTGAAAAAAAAAATATTTAAACAACAATAATGGTAGCATAAAAAAATTTCCTTCGCCTATTTTTACAATTATCCATTACGGAATTAGTCACCTATTGCATACTCAATGCCAATGATTGTTGTTCACTGATCAGTCTTAGCAAATAAAACAAACAATTGATTAGCATTCAACAGCCATTATGAAATTCTTTACTCATAATAAAAATACTACATTCTTTTTTCAAATTTACAATTTTTGATAATTAATTTGTCTAAGTTATACATGTTATTATGTTCTTTACTCTTTCCATTTATTCTACCAAAAAAATCTTCACAAGTGCTACATATAGCTGTTAACTTATGTATAAAAACGTCCCTGCTAATATTACAAATAACTAACCATTTTATACAGTTATCGCTAAATACAAAATCATTTACCTATTCAATTTTCTATTTCCACGCGTTCTTTTTTAGATGCAAACTAACTGCACGCTTCATCTTGTGTAACACTTGTTATATTACTTGCCGTTTGAATTAGCTAATATTGTTCATAAATTACAATTAAATTGGCCATTACTGGGCATAATTGCATTCGCACACCGCGCATCGCGCGGTGATCCTCCTCCTAGTTTAACAACTAGGCCGGTATACCTGTGGAGCAAATGACATTGGTTTAGTTTGGACTTACATCTTCATCCTTTCAATAATTCATATCAACATGCTTGTCAGCTATCAATTCTTTTTTACCTGCGTAGTTAGAATCTTTTTCAGTAGTCTGGGCAAAGCTAATACCCCTGTATCTGCACATGACAAGCATATTTTTTTTTACATGTCTGTCACTACAGTTGTTAAAACAATCCACTCACCTTCCAAAGTGGGAACTAGATAAGAAAGCAAACAAAACAAACTAATTGAATTATCTTTAGGAAAAACAACAAGACATACGTCTATCCAACTTAAATTTATACATAACAATTTAGACGTTAGACAAATAAACATCATATAGTAACACAAGTGGAGAAATAATTAGTGACCTCACTACACTACTACTTCACAAATTCAGAAATTGGAATTATAGATATAATAACAGATTCAAGTTTTTTTCAATCACACTAAACAAACTAGATGCTTTCGGACATGAGCATGACCACTAGTTTGAAAATGGTCAACGCCATATTCCCTCAAAGCACAACTACAGTCCATTATTAAAGAACACAAGCACAGCAGCCAAATGGATACATTAAATCATGCAATAACTAACCCCCAATTCAACCAGCAAGTATAACGGTCATTGTTTCTGCTAGGAATGAATTGTTACTATGCCAAACTTTTCTTCCTCATAAGTCTTGCG